TCCCTGCATTGGAGCAAGCCCCCGCCCCCCCCTCCATCCCAAGGTTGATCGGAAACTGAACTGACCACAAAGAGTTACTCATTATGGCATCTGTTGGACTGTAGTGGGGCGGTGCCCTCTTGGTCTCCGTCAAATGCTTCCACTACATCAAAGAAGGCTAAAGAAGTGTGTGTGAGTGTGTGTGTTTAAAATCTATTCAGAATCAGAGCTCACCTTTGAAAGGGTGGAATAATACTCCAGAATTCTTGCAGCTTCACGAATAGCGGTAGCGGCTTACATGGAAAGCCCTGCTCAGTTTCTTTCAAGGCCCGTTCACAATTTCCACTGCCACAAATAAAACTGAAATAAAGGGCTCCACTATTTAGTTCTGCCTTTTGGACAAGCTGTCATCCCCTTTCAGGAAAGAAAAAGATATAGGCAGCAAAGCAGATCAGAAGGTAGCAGCTCACATTCAAACAGCATTCACATGATCAAAAGCAGGAAAAGATAAGTAGATACTAAGGAACGGGGAAAAGAAAGTAAAATTTTAAAAAACAAACTCAGGCATCTAAGCCTATGTCACATGATTGAAAGAGGCTTGAACTGGGAGAATGTGGTCCTAATTCTCAATTTCTCACCAATTAGATAAGTAAAGGTGGGCAACTCTGGCATCTCTGAGTCCCAATTTCCTCATCTGCAAAATGGACATGTTCTCTGCCTTTGCCTGAAGGCACAGCTTAAGTGTAGTGGAAGGAAGAATGAACACAGAGTGAGAAAATCCATGTTCTAATCCCACCTAATTAGCCATGTACCTGCAAGGCAAGTTAGCTGCACTCTCCGGGCCTCCGTTGCCCACTGTCGTGCTGTAAAATGAGACAGATCAATTGAATAATCTCTAAGTGTCCTTCCACCCCTGACAGCCCATCAAAAATACACAAGTGTCCTGAAAACCAGGTATTTTTCCAGACTGTGGATGCTGCTCAAATGCTATATAGGAACATTCTGCATACCCGTAAGTCCAACCATAGCTCTGTTTTTCAAACTAAAACTATCCCTAAAGCATCCCCAAACACACCTCTGGCTTGTTGCTTCAGCCCTAGCAATCAGATAGACAACACTCCCAAATTATCTTTCTACCCAATTCAAGCTAGGCCTCAGGTGGGAGAAAATATCTCTCAAATTTTTCTATACACAAATAAAAATTTTTCTCCGCCTGTTTCTAAATCCCACTGTGAAGAGTACTCCCCTGGGAAAGCAGCTGTCCACACCCCAAATTAAAGCGCCAGTGATCCCAGCAACAAGTCCCATCACCAGGCAAGTGAGCCAGCTGTCGGGGCTATAAACCCAGGGTCTGGGAGCAGAAATGCCATTCGCTCTGGCAATAATGGTGTACTCACGCGACGTCAGGCCCCACAGGCAGCTGGCCCTCCGCTGGCTCTCACTCCCTCTCACACACCCGGAGTCCTATTGCAAGGAGGTGATCCCGAGGCCAGAGGGGAACAGCACTGAGACATTCTCTTCTCAGCTTCCAGAACAAGGGGCAAAGGAATGGAAGGGAGGGATGGGGGTGGAGTGGGGGAGGGGAGCAACTTTGTTTCTGGAAACAAGAATTCAAATCCTGCTTCTCCTAAGCCCTGAGTCACCTCCTTCCCTTCCAATAGATCAGTGTGGTGGGTAAACATTTCCATATATGGGGAAGCAGGCTGGAGGATGTCAGAAAAATCACCCTTCTGTCCTCTGGCACTTAAAGAACATGCCCCACTTAAGACAGAATTCCTTACTCAGAGTAAATGATTAACCCCAAAAGAAGTGAGTCTAAACTGTTCTGCATGCTCCCCCACCCAAACAAGGAATGGGCTGGCTTGAAAGTCTATAAATTCACCTTAGGAATGGGGTCATCTAGAATGCAACTACATTTATGAAGTCAGTCTATTAATTCAGGGGAAGGGGAGGTATTTGAGGGGATTCACCTGAAGAGGTCACCAAGAATCCAGTCTGCAGTTCATTTAACTGCAGATGAATCCAAAACAATCCCTACTCTTGGACCCCAATCCCTGACTCTCTTGGGCAGAGAATCCTCCTGGGAACTTAGTTTTGCATGAGTTCTTTATAAGAACAGACACCAGGCAGGAAGACTCAGAATAAAACCAGACTTTCAGCCCGGCCAGTTTGGCTCAGCGGTTGAGCATCGACCTAGGATCCAGGAGACTGCGGTTGGATTCCCAGTCAGGGCACAGGCCTGGTTTCAGGCTTGATTCCCAGCAGGGGGCGTGCAGGAGGCAGCCGATCAATGACTCTCTCATCATTGATGTTTCTCTCTCTCTCTGTCTCCCTTCCTCTCATATATATACACACACACATATACATATATATATTTTATATTTTTTTAAATATATTTTAAAAAACAAACAAAAACACAGACTTGCAAGAGAAAACTGTGGGTGGGGGGAATAGGAGAGGAGAACGTCCAATTTAATTGGTAAGATTAATTCCAATCTGAAGCTCCTGAGTAGTGTTTAATGGCTAAATTGGACCAGTGAAGTCAGTCAGGAATGAATGTTGTATAAAATAACTCCAGAGTAATTTCGAGGAGGAGAAAGGAGAGATAAGATGCTGGGGGAAATGGCGATATGGGTAAAGAGGGGTCTGTTCATGACACATTTATTTTGATTACTTGTTTTTGCAGGGATGCCACAAGTACCTGAAAAATTGCAAACATTTTTATTTATTTCATGAACACAAACATAAGTGATTAAATGAGATAAAGTAAACAGGATCAGAGAACCTTCCACCACATGCCAGAACCAGAACTCAGTACAGAATTCTCACCACGGCAGTACTCTCTGGAGGTCCCAGATGCAGGCCTAAACAGGGTAAAGAGGTGGCCCTCACTTGTTACTCAGAAAACTAGACCAGCCATCAGACCTAGTGGTTCCGTAGAAAGATTGTCATCCTGTCAGGAGCCCAAAGACCCTTCCAATATTGCAACAGAAACATTTTAGCAGATGAAAGAGATATTCCATGAAAAATAGCTGCCCATGGATGGCCTGGGAATTCTGAAAGCCAAGAACCAAGGAGGAAGCTACAGGCATAGGTCTGAAGACCAGAATGATAGAGTCTCTACACTCCATTTTGCAATTAGCATTTAGAGATCAGCTTCCACATCCACAAAGGGTCCCTTCATTCCTTAATGCATGTGTGCCTCTCTTGCTCTTGACCACTGAGAACCACTGGATCTGGGATCTCACGAGGAGAAGAGACCATAAAGGCCATTGGCCGATGTCCCCCTCCCCCCATTAATGAATCCCTCCATGGTATCCCTGAGGTCTCCAGTGAGGTGAAGATCATCTCCTGCAGCTGCAAATTCTGTCTTTCCAATAGAAAGTTCTTCCTTATATGGAAACAAATCTGGCTCCCTATGAAGCTATCCAAGATCTCATCCTTCAGTTACTCTGGCTGTTTCCTGACCATATCACACCGCTAGCTCTTAATGCATTTGGTTGCCAACTTGAAATCCAGCCTTTTGGGGTTTTCCAGTCAGTGTTACTGCTAAGTAACCTGTTCTGCATATATTCCACTGGCCTTATGGATTCATAAGATGTACTCTATTAAATTCCAGTCATTGAGAAATGGGAGAAGCTAGGCCTTCCAGACCAATTCCTCATCTACCTCTTCCCCATCCCCATGCCACATTCCCATCCTTCGTGGACAAAGCTCAGGATCCCATTCCCAACTCCCCCCTCCTGCTCTCTGGTCCTGACAGAACTAAAACTGTCTCCAAGATACAAGACAGTTTCAAGGATCATGAAAAGAGAGAGCTCTGTAGAGAAAAGAGGGCCTTCCCAACACAAGTGCTCTCAGTGGCCTGCAGGCAGGACAGCAATCCACCAATAACTGGGCTAAGAGCTCGTGATCCCTGACAACTCCAGCATTATTTTAGACCCTGGTGTCTTTACAAAAAGGGGGGAGGAGGAAGTGTTCTTTTCTGCTACAGTTCTGATGCACTATTTGGATTTAAGGTACACATAGCAATGATGTCTCACATTAGAAACATGCTTTACGGGTTAGTAAATGTTTTCCCAGATAGTCTCATTTAATCCCTCTGGCAATTACCCCTCAAGGAAGTCTTCTACCCAATTTAGTTATAGGGAAACTGTGGCTTAGAAAGGTTAAGTATATTCCCAAGGTCACAGCGAGAATAAGTAGCAAAAAGAACACTGGTTTAGAGACTGCTCAAGATTCCAGGCACAATTTTGCTAGCTGTATGATCGCTAAACATTGGTTTAACTTTTGTAAATCTTGGTTTCTACACCTGAAAACTAGAGATTAAAAGCCCCTCTGTCTACCTCTCAGAGCAGCTGAGAATAAAATGAGATAATACGAGTGAAAGTACTCTGGAAATTGGGGGAGACGGTACAAAAGTGTAAGGGATCATTGTGTGATTATTTGTAAATGACTGTGCATTCCATTACAAACTCAAAAAGCAGTGAGGTCATTCTCAAGATGAAGAAACATTAAAGCTCTGAGAATTAAAGGGTAATAATCTGATGTTCAACAGGGTTATGTGTATATACTACTCACTCTTGCAGTTGAAGGTCAGCAGTGACTGTCAAATTTCCAACTGCCAAGTCACATAAGCCTACAGGAACGCTCAAGACAAACTCTCCCTTTTCAGCTACAAGCAAATGCTAAGCCAAAAGGAGGTAATAGAGATAGACTTTCAGAAGACCCCCGAGATTCTTAGTTCCGGAAATGTGACCTGCAATGTTTTCCTTGGCGAAGCTGTTAGAAACACAGGCTCCAGTCTCTCTGCAATACACCCGTGGAGCAACAAGCATGCAGTGAGGAGCTACTCACCAGAGAGCACTGGGGAAGCTCCCTAGCATGAATTGTCAAGGGCACAGAATAGTTCAAGTTACAGATACCAAAAAGATAGCGATTCCAACCCATGAAAAACCTCCCAGCCACTCCGTAAGATCTGAGACAAAATCTTAAGGCAGCAAAAAGGCCCATTTACATACCAGAGGTCCTGCAGCAGGTCACCTGGGAGCCAGAGGACACCCAAGAAGCTCTGAGGGTGCAGGGACTGGCCTGGCTTCCTTCAGTCCTCTCCCAGCACACTAGTCATCAGTATTCTCTTCAATTTCTGCAAAGATCCAAGTCATCAATCAATATCATTATGGAAGGACCAGATTTTCCCCAGAAATCCATCCCCAAAGCAGATGAAAACACAGCTCAGTTTTATTACCTGTTTTCTGTGCTTTACACTGGAGAAAAGCACTACCTAAATTTGTGACACAGGTTCGAGCATTAGTGAGAGATGTGGACAGTCAGGTTGAAACAGAGATAACTTAGAAAGGTAAACGGGAGCCCATACCGTAATTGTTATAAGCCAACATGATTAGAGTCTTTTTCCTTTTTTTTTTTTTTTGATTGTTGATACTTTTAGAATCTATTTCTAAAAGTAGAGTGTTTTATTTGAAACGCAAAGCTCTAATTACACCATTGATCAGTATAAAATATAGTCTCTTTGGCTCTTCACTGCCAAACACTAATAACAATAATAACTAGAATTTAATGAGTGTTTACTCTGTGGTGAGCATTGTACTAAGCAAGTTGCATACATCGAGCATGCCATTTAATCTCATCAACAACTAAGTGAGCTGGCCAGTTTCATTCCCACATTACAGAGGAGGAAAGGAAGACTTAAAGGAAAAGTAAACTGTGCTGATCCCAGAGATAGTAAACGGAAAGGCCAGGATTAACTAACTCACAGGGCAAGCAACCCCTTACAGTTCTTTCCAATCTCTAACCTTTCCCATTGCCCAGCCTCTTTCTATTCCATTTCTTTCAGATGAAATCATACTCACGTAACTATCACACATGATGATCATATATAACAAACATAACTATCTCCAAAAATATTTGACAAAAGTCCTCATTTGTTTCTGTCTCCTCACCAGGCCCCTGACGTCAAGAACCTTGCCTGTGTTCTGGGCACTGTGTACACAGTGAACACTCAATATTCACAGGTATTCAGTTAGACAATGTGCTTGAAGGTTGGGCCAGGAAACTAATCTCAGTGAGGTTCCCAAGGTCCAAAGGGGAGACACAGGTCAAGATATAGGTCAAGTATCGTGTACATGGGGCAGCCTGAAGCTTCTGGCCAAGGCTTCTCAGAGGCTGCCTGACCCTTGAACCTGCAGCCAGGTACTCTAGAGGCCTCCGACTGAGGTAGACAGAAAGCACCCCTCCTTGAAAAGGGGAAAATTTTCCAGGACCCCTCACAACTGTGACTTTTACCAAGCCACTTTGTCTCTCAGACTTAGTAAAAAGACAAACTAAGCTAGCACAGTGGGTTTCAAACTTTTCTTTCCCTAATAACAGAGCTTTTCCTTTCAAGTAAAAGCTTTGCAGATGCTCAGCTTACAAAGTAAATAACAGCAGAACTGCTCAGGATGGGCTCCAGAACTCCCTTCCCTCCTAGTCTCTGAACTGCACAAGAAATAATGTGCAATGGCCCTCAGGAAAGCGCTCAGGGCTTCCAGAACGGGCCCCAACCGTCTTTCTGGCCACCTCTCCCATTATATTGCTACATGCAGTCTCTAGCTCCAGGCAAGAGTACACCCTCAACCCCTCCCTACTCCAAGATTTGACCTTGCTTCCCCCCCAGGGTTGTGCCTCCACATAGGAGCGCAAAATCTCACTGTACAGTGGGGAGGAGGATGCCTCGGGAGGGCTCTGTAACTGGGGTGTAGCCAGCAGTGTCTTCAGTGCCCCATCCTTTTTCTAAAGAGGGCCTCAACAATTACTGCTCCATAAAAATGAACATCAGGATAAAAAGAAATACTTCTGTATTTCTTTGTAGTCAACAAAGCTTTCAATGCCCCACCTTTTGAATGCTTAGTGCGACATATGGCCATGGTGCCCATTCTACAGATGAGAAACCTGAGGGAGTGTAATATAGTAAGATGCTGAGCCAGTAGCCAAGTGCAGGCCTTTGGCTCTAACACCTGTGTACACGACACTTTCCCTCAGCAGCAAAGTGCCCTGGAAACCCTGTCAAAGAAGGTGCCAGCCTCAAGGCCAGCTCACTGCATGACCCTGGGCAAGTTGCTATCCTTCTCTGAGACACACAATGAGGGCTCTGGGGCCATCCCACAAACCTACACACCCCTTTTTCTCTCATCCTGAAAGATTTCAGAAATGAAAGCTTAGAGAGGAACTACAAGGTAATGATTACATATGTGTTTGGTCAGTTCCACCCTGAGCTTTCCTTCCCACCCTCCAAAGCCCATCCTGTAAGAAGGAAGAGGCACTGACCCAAATGCCAAAAAGCCGCCATGACTCTACAGGACAACACGGGGACACCACGTGTTAGCATCACCATGCAGATCAGCAAGCCGCTCCCCAAGAACAACTGCAGTCACGGTCAGAGTGCATGAACTTTGTCAGCAAATTGCAGGTTTGATTGGCAATTTTTAATAAGCTTAAGATGCAAGGGCATTAATGTGGACGGCACAGTATGCACCTGATATGCTTTGTGGCCTGTGGGCTCCAAGAGGGAGGGCAATGAAAGAAATGCTCTTTCTTCAAGATCCTTAAGACAGTAGCATCTCTTTGTAGTGTGGGCAACTAGAACTGCTGTCTGACCACAGGACTCTCGTTTGGATGTGGAGACATCTGCAGAGGAGGCTGCTGAGCCCTCTCCTGGTATTCTCCTCAAGTCTAAATGTTGACTGCCAGGTTATCCCAGGACCACAGGGTCCAGCTCTGGCAAAACTCAGGTACCAACTATTCCAATTCCTGTAAACTTGTCTGGAACATTCATTCATTCAGAAAGCACCCAAAGTCCACTGATGCCCGGCAAGAAGATAAGGCTGAGTTTGTGCTTTCAAGGACTCTACACTACTATCTTAAAGTGGCTTCCCAGTGGCAAGAGAATAAGTCCAGGTGCTTAATCCCAATATCTCAAGTTCCTGAAAAACGCAGTCAATCTTCCAGTCCCACTATAAACTCCCTCCCACTGCCACTCAGCACACATTCTTTGCTTATACAGGGCTAAACGTTTAACTCCCTTATTCCTGTACTTGACCTACTTTCCTTCACCACCCTGAGATCCCATATAGACATCCTATACATCCTTCAAGGCCATTGGTAGTTCTCAACAGGAACAAGATTGTTCTTTGAAGAAAGGCAATAATTTCTGCAGTGTTTCATGGATTACAGGACATCTAGGGTCACTGGCCTTGAGTACTGTATGGCAATGGTGGTCCAGCCTCCAGCACTGAGACAAGAAAACACTCCACCACATTTGCAAATGCCCCTTAAAGAGATGTTAATGCTTCCAAAGGAGAATCACCTGACCACTGTCACTCAACAGGGAACCTCCCTTGTTTCTCAGTCCGATCACAATACTCTTCCTTCTTGGAATTTGCTTAGCCTGCTGTCTAGGACACTGATTATGACCTTCCCTGTACTGTTCTTACTAATAACTTAACCTATTCCCTCTCTAGTGAGGGCTCCCAGTGGACGAACTCATGACCGACCTCTGCCCAGAGTGCCAAATCTAGCCCAGTGTCAGGCTCATAGTAAGTGTTTAATAAACATTTGTGAACAAATTATATAAACAGGACAAATGTCCAGGGCATGACTCCCCAGAGGAGATGAAACTGAACTAAAAAACTACAAGTCAGCCACTGCTGTCAAAAGAAAAAAAAGCTAATTCAGAAACTGAACTTGGACAAATGGCTGCTTTTTCGCAATACTGAGTACATTAAGGTTATATGTTTTATGTAAATAAAAAATATTAAATAGAATATCATAATTATATTACAGTATTATAATTAATTGTACATAGTAAGTCTTTTGGAATAATAACCCCTGGATGTTTTAAAATGAATGTGTTGGTGGCAGACACCCTCTCTACTGGCTCAATCAGAGCACTTTCCCCACTCTAAAGTGCCCTCCTGCACTACAGAAGCAGTCTGCTAAAAACTACATCTCCCACACTCCCTGAAAGCTAGTAAATCAGGTTCCAGCTGGGAGGTAGAACATGGAGCTAAATCACTCTGCAGCTATTTCTACTGGCAGGCAACACTGGAACCCTAAGAGTCAAGACGCCTTTCCACTGGGCAATGCAATGTCCAACCACCAACTCTGAGGATGGTGAGAAAAGTCTGACAGGCCTCTGCAGTGGCTTCCTAATGCTACCTTCTTTATCCTTGGATTTGGCTATGGAATAAATTCTTCAACTCAGTAGTTCCAGATGTAGCCTCCTGGCTCCCACAGCTTGGCTCCATCCTTCCCAACAATTCTGTTAGCGTCTTTTCCCCTGAATCAATGCCTTTCCACTTAAATTGTGTGAAACATTGCACTGAAGACTGATAGATGCAAGAAGGAAAATGCAAACCAATAGATCGATTAAATCATCATCCATTCCTCTACCGCTTGATTTGCTCAAGTAAGACCTATGTCTCTCTATACCTAAGACCCTCCCTTTACCCCTGAAAGGGAAATATCTCACTTCACATAAGTGGACATAAGTGGCAGGTATCGTAAGCTGATCAGAACTACACAAACTAGCTTGTGGTCAACATAAACTCTAATTCATATAACAGGAAGCATGGTCATAGCACAAATACTAGCTCTTTCTTGAGAATTTGTGGCCTGACCTCTTTCTTTTTCAGATTTTCCCCCGAATACTTCAGAACCTCAAAGGCATGCAAGCTCCACACCCAGCCCATCTGCTCTGTGCAGACCCACAGAGTCAGCCTCCAGAAATGTCTGTTCCTGTCTTTATTTCCTTGTTTATAAAACAGGGTTAGCAATAGTACCTTCTTCGTAGATTTGTTTAAAAGATTAGATGAATCACCATAAATAAAGCTGCCACAGCAGTGACTGGCACAGAGTGACTGCTTGCTAAGTGTCACCTAGTTTGTAAACCAAGAAGCAATCTTAGGGCACAGTATATGTCCTGTTTTACAAATGAGGAAACTGAGACTCAGAGAGTTTATGTAACTTGTTCAAGGTCAGCCAGCTACTAAGCAAGGAGTGGAGGCAGGATCCAAATCCAGCTCCGTGGCCTTCCTTACACAAAATCCGAAACTCTCTGCTCTTCAGCATCCTGCCTGCTGATATGCACAC